GCCACAACTGGACACATCTACATGATTTACCGCTGTATTATCAACTACAATTACATTATTCATTCTTATACAACTAAAAATCTCACTTCATAATTTCCCACAAATCCTATCAATAAAATCAATTAAACTTATAAAAACAAACAATCCCTGAGAATCAAAATGAACGAAAATCTATTTGCCTCTTTCACTACCCCCACAATAATAGGGTTACCTATTGTTATACTTATTATTATACTCCCATCAATTCTCATAACTTCCTCTAAACGATTAATCTCAAACCGCTTATACTCATTCCAACAATGACTAATCAAACTCATTATTAAACAAATAATACTAATTCACTCACCAAAAGGACGAACATGAGCACTAATACTAGTATCCCTAATTATATTTATTGGCTCAACCAATCTACTAGGACTCCTACCACATACATTTACCCCAACCACACAATTATCAACAAATCTAGGCATAGCAATCCCGCTATGAGCTGGGGCCGTAATTCTAGGGTTCCGCCACAAACTAAAAGCTTCATTAGCCCACTTTCTACCTCAAGGAACCCCTATTTCTCTTATTCCTATACTAATCATTATCGAAACCATCAGCTTATTTATCCAGCCCATAGCCCTAGCAATCCGTTTAACAGCTAATATTACTGCAGGTCACTTGTTAATTCACTTAATTGGCGGGGCTACTCTAGTTCTTACAAGCATTAGCCCGCCAACAGCTACAATCACATTTATTATTCTAGCACTTCTCACTATTCTAGAATTTGCTGTAGCCTTAATTCAAGCCTACGTATTTACCCTGCTAGTAAGCCTCTATCTACATGATAACACCTAATGACCCACCAAACTCATGCTTTCCATATAGTTAACCCAAGTCCATGGCCTCTGACAGGAGCTTTCTCTGCCCTCCTCCTAACCTCGGGCTTAGTTATATGATTTCACTACAATTCATATATCCTTCTATCCCTAGGACTTCTAAGTAACATACTCACTATATGTCAATGGTGGCGTGATGTAATCCGAGAAAGTACTTATCAAGGACACCATACGCCTGCTGTACAAAAAAGCCTACGCTACGGAATGATCTTATTTATCATTTCCGAAGTATTCTTCTTCGCAGGCTTCTTCTGAGCATTCTATCACTCAAGCCTAGCTCCAACCCATGATCTTGGAGGATGTTGACCACCAACAGGAATTACACCCCTTAATCCCCTAGAAGTCCCACTCCTTAATACATCAGTCCTACTAGCATCAGGAGTATCCATCACATGAGCACACCACAGTTTAATAGAAGGAAAACGAAATAACATAAATCAAGCCCTATTTATCACAATTATACTAGGAGCCTATTTCACTATTCTCCAAGCCTCAGAATATTTTGAAACCCCATTCTCCATCTCAGATGGAATTTATGGATCAACATTCTTCATAGCAACCGGATTCCACGGTTTCCACGTAATTATTGGCTCTACCTTCCTAATTATTTGCCTACTACGACAATTAAAATACCACTTCACATCCAAACACCACTTTGGATTCGAGGCAGCAGCATGATATTGACACTTCGTAGACGTAGTATGGCTATTCCTGTACGTATCCATCTATTGATGAGGATCTTACTTTCTTAGTATAATCAGTACATCTGACTTCCAATCAGTTAGCTCTAGAACGACCTAGAAGAAAGTAATTAATATAATACTTATCTTATTAGTCAACATTTCTCTAGCTATTATCTTAATCTCTGTAGCCTTTTGACTTCCTCACCTCAATATCTACACTGAAAAAGCCAACTCGTATGAATGCGGATTTGACCCAATAACCTCCGCTCGACTACCCTTCTCAATAAAATTCTTTCTAGTAGCAATCACCTTCCTACTCTTCGATCTTGAAATCGCATTACTTCTTCCACTACCCTGGGCAATACAATTCCCCAATATAAATATGCCAACAATTATAGCATTTACTCTTATTACAATCTTAGCCCTAGGACTAGCCCACGAATGAACACAAAAAGGCTTAGAATGAACAGAATAGCTGGTAATTAGTTTAATTAAAATTAATGATTTCGACTCATTAGATTATGATGATATCATAATTACCAAAAAATGACACCTGCCGTACTCAATATTACCCTAGCCTTTTCTTTCTCCTTACTAGGGACACTCATATTTCGAACACACCTTATATCCACCCTACTCTGCCTAGAGGGTATAATACTATCCCTATTTATTCTAGCCACTATTACACCCTTAAATACCCACTCAATAATTATATTCCCTATCCCTGTTGTTATCTTAGTATTTGCCGCCTGCGAAGCAGCTGTTGGATTAGCTTTACTAGCAAAAATCTCAAACACCTACGGCTCTGATTTCGTCCACAATCTAAATCTTCTACAATGTTAAAAATTATCCTTCCATCATTCATGCTACTCCCCCTAACCTGACTTTCAAGCAATAAGAAAATATGAGTCAACGTAACAACCTACAGCCTCCTAATTAATTTAATCTCCATTAGCCTTTTATGACAAAACAACGAAAACAATCTCAGTTTTTCTACCACATTCTCCGCAGATCCCTTATCAACCCCACTTCTAGTCCTAACAACCTGACTTCTTCCACTAACACTTCTAGCCAGCCAAAATCACATTAAAAAAGAATCTGAGTACAATAAAAAACTATACATTTCCTTGCTAATTTGTCTTCAAGTCCTACTCACCATAACATTTTCTGCCAATGAACTTATTATATTTTACATTTTGTTCGAAGCTACCTTAATCCCAACTCTTATTATTATTACACGATGAGGAAATCAAGCAGAACGTCTTAATGCAGGAATCTACTTTCTATTCTACACCCTAGTAGGATCAATCCCCCTATTAATTGCTCTAATCTATATCCAAAATTCAATAGGAACATTAAACTTCATCCTAATAACACTAAACTCTTCACCCATCAACCAAACATGGTCCAACAATATTTTATGATTAGCCTGTGTAATAGCCTTTATAGTTAAAATACCTCTCTATGGGGTTCACCTCTGGCTTCCCAAGGCCCATGTCGAAGCTCCCATCGCAGGATCAATAATCCTAGCAGCTATCCTACTAAAATTAGGCGGATACGGTATAATACGTATCTCTACAATTTTAGACCCAGTAACCAAATACATAGCCTACCCATTTATTCTCTTATCCCTATGAGGAATAATTATAACTAGCTCTACCTGTCTACGACAAACAGATCTTAAGTCTCTCATCGCTTACTCCTCAGTAAGCCACATAGCTCTAGTTATTGCCGCTATCATAATCCAAACTCCATGGAGTTTTATAGGAGCCACAACACTAATAATCGCTCATGGCCTAACCTCCTCCCTATTATTCTGCCTAGCTAACACAAACTATGAACGCATCCATAGCCGAACAATAATTATAGCCCGAGGTCTACAAATATTATTTCCCCTAATAGCTACATGATGAATTCTAGCAAGCCTAGCTAACCTTGCTCTGCCACCAACAATTAATCTAATAGGAGAACTAATAATCACAATCTCTATATTTTCTTGATCTAATCCATCCATTATTCTCCTAGGAATAAATATCTTTATCACCTCCACCTACTCAATTTATATAATTGTTACTACACAACGAGGCAAACTAACTAATCATATAAACAACCTACAACCTTCATATACACGAGAATCCACACTCATAACCTTACATATTCTACCACTCATCCTACTTACTATTAACCCTAAACTAATTATAGGCCCCACACTATGTTAATATAGTTTAAAAAAATATCAGACTGTGAATCTGAAGACAGGATATGAATATCCTTATTAACCAAGAAAGTATGCAAGAGCTGCTAACTCATGCTACCGTACTTAAATATACGGCTTTCTTACTTTTATAGGATAGAAGCAATCCGTTGGTCTTAGGAGCCAAAAACTTGGTGCAACTCCAAATGAAAGTAATAAACATTATTACATCCTCCATCTTTCTCATCCTCGCACTCCTAGTCTTCCCCATAATCATCTCACTCACTAACATAACAAAACAAATTAACTTCCCCAATTACGTAACCTCATGCATCAAATCCGCATTTTTCATTAGCCTTATTCCCCTATCTTCCTTCTTCAACTCTGGCGCAGAACTCATAATCACAAACTGACAATGAATTACTATTGGCTCTATCAAACTATCATTAAGCCTAAAATTTGACTTCTTCTCAATCATTTTTCTGTCAGTGGCCTTATACGTCACATGATCAATTATAGAATTCTCTACATGATATATACACTCAGACCCTAACCTAAATCGATTTATTAAATATCTTCTAACTTTTTTAATTACTATAATTATCCTAACTACCGCTAATAACCTATTTCAACTTTTTATTGGCTGAGAAGGTGTAGGAATTATATCATTCCTACTTATTGGTTGATGGTACGGACGAACTGATGCAAACACCGCTGCCCTACAAGCCATCTTGTATAATCGTATTGGTGATATTGGCTTAATACTAGCAATAGCTTGATTCTGTACAAAAACTAACTCATGAGAACTTCAACAAATCTTCATCATAGATAAACCTAATACTATTCCCCTTATAGGACTTCTTCTAGCAGCTACAGGGAAATCAGCCCAATTCGGACTCCACCCATGACTACCCTCAGCCATAGAAGGCCCAACTCCTGTCTCAGCTCTACTCCACTCAAGCACTATAGTTGTTGCTGGGGTATTCCTGCTAATCCGATTCCACCCACTTATCTCTAACAATAATCTTATCCTAACAAGCATACTATGCCTAGGTGCTATAACTACCCTATTTACAGCTATCTGCGCACTTACCCAAAACGACATCAAAAAAATTGTAGCCTTCTCAACATCAAGTCAACTAGGACTAATAATAGTCACCCTAGGTATTAACCAACCTCACCTAGCTTTTCTCCATATCTGCACCCACGCATTCTTTAAAGCCATATTATTCTTATGCGCAGGATCTATTATTCATAGCCTCAATGACGAACAAGACATCCGAAAAATAGGAGGGTTAGCAATAACTATACCATTTACATCCTCCTGCTTAACAATCGGAAGCTTAGCCTTAACGGGAATGCCATTTCTTACAGGATTTTACTCTAAAGATCTAATCATCGAAGCAGCCAATACCTGCTATACCAACGCCTGAGCCCTATTAATTACACTAGTAGCCACCTCTATAACAGCCATTTACAGCATACGAATCATTTATTTCGCCCTGATAACTAAACCCCGCTTTCCTCCCACAATTATTATTAATGAAAGTAACCCGCTACTAATTAACCCAATCAAGCGACTAGCATTAGGAAGCATCCTAGCAGGATTTTTTATCTCATATAATATACCACCCACAACTGTTCAAGTAATAACTATACCTTGATATCTAAAAATCGCAGCTCTAATAGCTACTACTGCAGGATTTATAATCGCATTAGAATTAAATAATTTAACAAACAACTTCTCACCAACAAAACCTTCACCAACAAATTCATTCTCGGCTTCCCTGGGGTATTTTCCAACAATTATACATCGACTCCTACCCCTAAAATTACTTAACACTAGCCTCAAAACAGCCCTAACAACACTAGACTTAACCTGACTAGAAAAAGCAATTCCTAAAGTTACTTCCACCATTCATATACTTACTTCTTCTGCACTAAGCACCCAAAAGGGAATAGTAAAATTATACTTCCTCTCATTCCTAATTACACTAATCTGCATTCCTGTAATTTTACTCACTTAATTTCCACGAGTAATCTCAATAATAATAAAAACCCCTATAAATAAAGTCCAACCAGAAACAACTATTAATCATGCAGAACAACTATATAAAGCAGCTACACCTGCACCTCCCTCTCCTATCAACCCCAATCCATCACTATCATAAATTACCCACCCCCCTATACTATTAAACTCTAACATTAATTCTATATTCTCATAATATTTACTTACAAATAATATAGCCACCCCTATAAAAATACTTATAAATAAGATCCCAATTGTTAGTCAACTAGACACTCATGCTTCAGGGTAATCCTCTGCAGATATAGCAGTGGTATAACCAAATACAACTAATATCCCCCCTAAATAAATTAAAAATACCATTAAACCCAAAAACGAACCTCCAAACCCTAATACAGCTAAACAACCTGAACACCCACTAACAACTAAACACAACCCACCATAAACAGGAGAAGGTTTTAAAGAAGTACCTAAACAACCTACCGCAATTACTAGACTTAAAAAATAAATTAATTCTGTCATAATTCCTACATAGACTTTAACTATGACCAATGACATGAAAAATCATCGTTGTTATTCAACTATAGAAACATCTAATGACAATCATCCGAAAAAAACACCCACTAATCAAAATTATTAATCACTCATTTATTGATCTTCCAACCCCATCAAACATCTCATCATGGTGAAACTTCGGTTCTCTACTAGGACTTTGCCTCATTATCCAAATTCTCACAGGACTGTTCCTAGCCATACATTACACATCAGATACAGCGACAGCATTCTCATCAGTAGCTCATATTTGCCGAGACGTAAACTACGGATGACTAATCCGATATATACACGCTAATGGAGCTTCCATATTCTTTATTTGCTTATTCATTCATGTAGGACGCGGAATCTACTATGGCTCCTACAATATAACCGAAACATGAAATATAGGAATTATTCTTTTATTCGCCGTAATAGCAACAGCATTCATAGGCTATGTGCTTCCATGAGGACAAATATCATTCTGAGGAGCCACAGTAATTACAAACCTACTATCAGCCATCCCTTATATTGGCACAACACTCGTAGAATGAATCTGAGGTGGTTTCTCAGTAGATAAAGCCACCCTTACACGATTCTTTGCCTTCCATTTCATTTTACCTTTCATCATCACCGCTTTAGTATTAGTCCACCTACTATTTCTTCACGAAACTGGATCAAATAACCCAACAGGCTTAAACTCAGACGCAGATAAAATCCCATTCCACCCTTACTATACAATCAAAGATTTCTTAGGAATCCTCATCCTATTGATAGCTTCCATAATTTTAACTTTATTTTTCCCAGATATTCTCGGAGATCCTGATAATTTCACCCCAGCAAATCCACTCAACACTCCACCACATATTAAACCAGAATGATATTTCCTCTTCGCCTATGCCATTCTACGATCTATTCCCAACAAACTTGGTGGTGTCTTAGCATTAATCTTATCAATACTAATCTTAGCTTTTATACCACTACTCCATACCTCAAAACAACGAGCACTCACCTTTCGCCCAATCACACAAATTATATACTGAGCTTTAGTAGCAGACCTCCTTATCCTCACATGAGTTGGCGGCCAACCAGTTGAATATCCATTCATCATCATTGGACAAACAGCTTCAATTACCTACTTTACTATTATCTTAGTCCTTATACCAATCACAGGTATAATTGAAAACAACATATTAAATCTAGATTAAATGTCCTGATAGTATAAACATTACACTGGTCTTGTAAACCAGAAATGAAAAAATTTTTTCTCAGGACATCAAGAAGGAGGGATCACTCCCCCACCGTCAGCACCCAAAGCTGACATTCTATTTAAACTACTTCCTGTACATAAATTTATCTAACACATATTACATTTATGTATATTGTACATTAATTTATATGCCCCTAGCATATAAGCATGTACTATACATTAATTATATAAGACATTATATTCTTAATCAACATAAATTATATCCACCATGACTATTAAGACCAACTATTTAATTAATGCTTCTTATACATATATATAAATCTCCCCATACCCCATTAAGTCATAAACTCTTCTTGTCCATACGACTATTCTCCCACTCATTTGATCTATTAATCTTCCATCCTCCGTGAAACCAGCAACCCGCCCACCTTATGCCCCTCTCCTCGCTCCGGGCCCATTTTAACTTGGGGGTTACTAATGTGAAACTTTATCAGGCATCTGGTTCTTACCTCAGGGCCATAAAATGCTTTATCGTCCATACGTTCCCCTTAAATAAGACATCTCGATGGTACGGGTCTAATCAGCCCATGCCTAGCATAACTGTAATCCCGGGCAGTTGGTATTTTTTATCTCTGGTGTGCTTGCCTCCCCATAGCCATCAAGGCATGAAGTTCAACTTACCTTGTAGAAGAACTTATCATTCAAGCGTCATTTATCCCCATTCGTTCCCTAGCAACATATTAATTAATTGGGCCGGGACATATAAACAAGTCGTATTAATCATGCAAATGTTCTCCCCTCATAACAACCCCCAAGCGCATACTTTTCATGCTTGTTAGACATAACTTCAACCTCCCCACCTAGCCTCCAAGAACAAAAAACCATCTCGGGCTCTCGTACATTCGAATAATCACCCAAATATAACTTGAAATTTAGTATTGATCAAAAAAATTAAAAAAAAAATCAATACCAAAAAACAAGTCAAAAGGCCCAAAAATTTTCAAGTACAATTTCAGTATTGATTTTTTCTTAGTTAATGTAGCTTATTCAAAGCAAAGCACTGAAAATGCTTAGATGGATGCTAACATCCCATAAACAATAAAAGGTTTGGTCCTAGCCTTATATTTAGTTGGAGGCAGAATTACACATGCAAACTTCCATAAACCAGTGTCAAATCCCATAGAGTTTCTTCTAACTCTTAGGAGAGGGTATCAAGTACATTCAATAGCTAAAGACACCTTGCCTAGCCACGCCCCCACGGGACTCAGCAGTGATAAAAATTAAGCAATAAACGAAAGTTTGACTAAGCCATGCCTCTTTAAGGGTTGGTAAATTTCGTGCCAGCCACCGCGGTCATACGATTAACCCAAACTAATTATTCTCGGCGTAAAACGTGTTAACAGAGACAAATAAAATAGAATTTAAACCCATCCAATATGTGAAAATTCATCGCCGGGCCTAAAATCAATGACGAAGGTAATTCTAACACATCTAATACACGATAGCTAAGATCCAAACTGGGATTAGATACCCCACTATGCTTAGCCCTAAACTTCAATAATTTAAAAACAAAAATATTTGCCTGAGAACTACTAGCTACATTGGGAAAATGATGTAAATTGATGACAACTAAAAACAATAAAATGTAATAAAACAGCACCTGATATGTAAGGAACACCCTGACATTTGTGTTTTGATTTTTTAAAAATATAACATAGCACTGGACTTCATATATTTTGTATCAGGACAATATGTTACTTGACTGTGATTCATTTGAATCTTCTTAATATTAACTATCACATTTTTCTTTTTGTTGAGGACTATTTACATTTATTTTTCATTACATGTCTTGAAGATTGTTTAAAGTGCATCCATATATAAATAGCTTCAATTGAGTAACTCCAGACAGCTTCTTTTCCTCAAAGCTTTGGCTTGTGAACCTAATGTGTGCCGAATTTATGTTGTGTAAAGAAAAATACAGGGACAAGAAGAAACAGAAGAAAGTATAGAAAAGGACATTGATTTCTCTGTGAGATGTGTAAACCTAAGAATCATACATGACAAATAAAGAATAAATAGCTTGTGTGTATAAAGTTGTATTTGCCATTGAAGATATTGCCTGAATTTTCCCCTTCAAGGAAAACCTTGGTATAAGGTCTGTCATCAGAGGAGAGTAGGCCCTAAGAATGCAATGTGTCTTTAGATAAGGAACTTATGTGTGTTTTTATTTTGCGACCATGGGTATTCATAGTTACTGCTCTTGGTTGAATTTTGAATACAAGATCAAAATAAAATTTTAAGACTCACCACTCATAGGATTATTATAAAATAAAAATCAAGTGAATGTGAAGAAAACCAAAAAATTGATATCAGACTGTTCAAAATAAACAGATAAAGAAATATATTTGTAACAGACTTTAAATTGTAAAATATTTTATTCTTTTAATTTTAAGACATTATATTATAGCCACACCAATTGCTTCTTACACTTACTTTTTCTGAACCATTCTATATTCCTCTCCATTGTCTGTCATTAATGGGACTTCTTTTAAAACTAATTATTGGCATATTCAAAATTGTGAAAATTTGATGAACTAATATGACTATTTTATGAGTATAGATAGAAGCAAGGGAAATGGAGTGAATTTGTTTATTGCTCCATAAAG